CTTTAATGGCCCTTGGATCACAACATGAATCAAAAATTAAGGAGGCATCATTTTCTTTACAAGATTGCTTTTATATATGAAATAATGAAGATTCAGTTTGTTCTGTGGTCATTCTTATGAATAAAAATAATAATGCAAGAAGTCCAGTTGTCTTCAGATAACACTTCAGTGCTTAGAGCAGTGACAGATTTCATCCTATAATAAACAATTGCTTTAGAATCTATAGAACATGATTCAGCCTTCATAGTATCATGTATGGCAGCATTAAGATAGCTATCCTCAGCACATTCCCTTCAGGAAATCTTAATGCATGAGTGGTCAATTGATAGCAACAGTACCTCCTCCCCATCTCTCCTGAAGTGATACATTACTTAAAAATACATAACATATGAGGCAGTTAAAATCTCCATATCTTAATCATTTCATAATACCTTAAGGAATTATTTACCTTCTGTGAATAGTGGCATTTAAATACTACAATTCTGATTTCTTAATGTTTTACATTCTTCTTTAAATCATATGATACAGTGCTGTGAAATATTGAACACCTCAGGCCAGATGAAAAGAGCAATCTAAATCTTTAACTGTTCTCAAAAACTCTTCCTTGTAACACATGACCTTAGAGGGTTTTTTACTCTCCTCTTTGTTACCCAAAGATCCAGGGTGTCTGGATGTCCATAAACTAGCCCAGCACTGGTAGTGTGGACTCTTGCAACTTACCAAGTTTTGTAACAATGTGAGGGGATCTTTGGGGTCTGATCTAGCATATTCAAAAGATATTTTTCACACAGGATCTTTTTAAAAAGTGCAGTTGCAAGAACCTTCCATTAACAAAAGAACATGATTGCATAGATGGATTGTTAGGTCAATCCTTTCTGTTAAGAATGCCATGCATTTAATTAAGTCTGAACTTAGACAATTATATTAAATATGAACTACGTGAACATACTGCACCACAGGGATGGGAATCCATAACATTCTACTTCCCATAAAGTGCATATAACAAGGGCACAGAAGAATTTATCTTCTTATTTGGTCTCCTTGACCAGGAAAGGAACTTTTTTAACAGCACACTGCACATATTCAGCACGTAAAAATGGGGAAGGGAGGGTAGTGTATCAGATAATATTCATGAGCTTTTTTATTTCTTAGTATGGAACCATTTAATATGTATTTCACCCAAATATGTTTCATTATGAAAGTGTTATGTTGGCTCTGAAGTTAAAAAAATGCAAAAATAAAAATAACAGTAACTTTTACGATGTAGCAAAATCTATTTTACAGTTTAAAGTGCAAGTCTATGCTAACATTCCATCAGATTTCTGCGTATGTAAAAGGTTTCAGACTTCTTTCTGTTTGAACAATTAAGTACTATTCTCCTGTAGTTTCTTTGGTAACTAGTTACAACTGGAAGAATTTAAAAAATTCTTAACTTGTAAAACAATTCACCTCGAAATAATCTCGATGAATTGATCTACAAAGGTAAACAGCTGAAGTTACAATAAATAACATTTCTCCTTGAAATATGAAACCAAATTTTTCTTTTCTGTGTTCCATCATTCCATTGCAAAAACAAAAGTAATAGCAGGAGTAGAATCAGTCCTTCCAGCAGTAATAGGAGAAACATACTGTGAATATCTTGAAGTTCATGTCTTAAAACACAAAACTTTGGTAAATGCTTCATGAAATGTGCTGTGCACATGCACTTGCACTCCACATTGGTGAACCTGAATAAATAAAAGTTCTTCACATCTTGCTTTCATAGAGCTGAACAGAATCTGGTGTTTTACTTTCTTCCTTGAGGTTAGCTGCTATCCATTAAACTGTGGCTCTTAAGAATTTGTTCTGTTATGTCAAAAAGCCAAAGCTAACTGTTAGGAAATGTGCAGAAAAAACAATGCTGTATCTTTTCAGTATGGCAATTAACTTCCCTATATTTATTCCAGCTACAATTTTCTCCTGTTTCAAGGAATAAAAAGATTTGATACCAACTGTTGAACATGATCAAGAATACCATAAGCTTCAGAAAGTCAAACAGGGACAGGTCTTTTGACTTCTAATGCAGGGCCCGTAGTAGATCCATCTTCTCTGTCTCAAATCCAACAGGGTGCACCAAACATTGAGTCCCAGAGGAAGTGACCACTTAAGGCAATGCAAACACTGCAAAACCTCACCATGGAGTAGGTTTCAGTTGCCACAGTGGATTGTACTGCCAGAGGTCTGTCTACAGCTGAGCAGGAAATTCATTAATGGAAATGAAAGCATTCTGTGCTGGGGAGCACAAGAGAAGAGAAGAGAAATGCGAAGTTTTTCAGCTGATCTTTTGAATTAAGACAAGCGCTTGGCTGGGTTTTCTTTTCCTCATAATGATTTCAGTGCACCTCTGTGAAACTTACAGATTGTGTTGGTGTGGCTAATAAAGTTTACTTCTGTAGATAATGGCATTCTCAGAATCCTTTCTGATGAGATTCAGTCTGCATGTTTTCCCTTGGCACTATTACTTTAAAATGTGAAATAATGTTTTACTTGTGATAAATACCCCTTTTTTATTAACACACCAGAAGTGGATCATTATAAGGTGGTTTGATATCCCAGACAAATTTATCTTTTCAGTTTAGCATACTATACAGTTAGTAATCTCTACTAAGTAAATACAAATAAGTTGCACATTGTAAACACCCCTTGTTTTGGGTCATACTGGGGACTTTTTTGTCATGCAAAGAGTGGCCAAAACTTGATCCTTCAATTACAATCAAGAAAAAGTGACTATAGGTGAAAAACCTCTGGTTTAGACTCATCATTGATAAAAGGATGAACTCATTTCCAGCCTAGAATTTGGTTACAGAAAGGTTGATCTGTCATTCCAGCAGAGAATAATGTGTGAAAATATTGGACTAATATTGAATAAACAAATACTTGAATTTATGTGTAAATTTGCGGGTTTTGATGGAAGGGGGTTTTGGGGGGTTTGGTTTTGTTTTGGTGTATTTCAAGCTGTTTAGAAGCTTGGAGAAGCATCGCTGCAAGTAATGTATATTTAAGTACTGGTACTAAAAGTCTGTATGACAAATACCTATAGCAGAAAAAGAAAGTAGCAAGAAAAAGAAAGAAAAATACATTTAACTTTTATAAAGTTTAAAAGTTTAAAAAAGTTTTAAAAAATGCAATAAATTGCTTTAATATCTGTTTATTTAGGGAACAGGTCTATAGTGTTATGGAATATAATTTCTTCACTCAGATGTGAGGGGAAAAATGGTAGTGTTGGTTAACTTGAGGTACCCTAACAATGATAACATAGCTGCCATATACACCAGTGTGCTTGGTGAAGTACTTATCACACTCAATTAAGCTATTGTGCTGTTAGGAGAAAAATATATCCATTTAGTTGCAAACTGTCAAACACGCTTTGCCTTCCAACCTCTGTTATCTAGTTAAGTGAATTGTATCAGACCACTTAACTGTGCCTTGCCATCAGAAAAAAATTAAAAAGAGACAAGGGTATTAAGGAAACATTTCTGAATATCCCTTCCAACTTTCTGCAAACACAAATAACATTAAGGATACATTTCTAGTTGTTATGATGAAAATGTTCCAAGGAACTGTTAGAATCAGATACTGCTTTTTTTTTTTTGGTACATTATACTTTTCTTATGACATGATTTTATTTTTATCAGCAGATACTGATACTATTCACCTGGAGAATAATCACATAAGGCCATATTCTCATTCCTTTTTGTTCTGGCAATACAAAGTTTCCTCATAGCTGGAAAAATCACTGTCTGAGGACGTTACTAAGAGGGGAGGCTATAGCCAGACCCCTCCCTCCTCATCCTGCAAGCTTTCACTACATGGCAGCCCAGTAGAGACAGATGATGGGAAAGTAGATAACGTGCCACATTCTAGTGATTCCTAGATACTGCAAAACCACTTGCAGAGTTGCAGACTGCCACAGAGTACAGTTGCCCTTACACGTGAATTATGTGAATCTCCCTGCTAAGGGGAAGCTAAAAGCTAAAGCTCACTTTAATTCTGCTGAGTGAGGCTCTGATACAGCTGTATAACTGAGTTGATTTGACATTAATTTAAATCACTCTTCTTTCTGATGCTTTGAGACTACAACAAAGGCTATTTTGCCACACAGTTGTCCTCAACATTCTGCCAAATAACTGTTAGCAGCTAAGCAAAGTGACATCTGTGCATGTGGCAATTGTCTTTAGTCTGAAGCTACTTCTCTTAAATCAATGCTTGAGGGCCTGAATCATCATGTCCCTTCATCTTGCCAATTGCAGGGTATTATTTTTACTCCCATTTTTTACTAGTGGAAATAACTACTGAAATGAAAAAAACTGAAACAGTAAACCCTGTTATCAAGTACCATGAACCATTTTGTTCTGTGGTTTTGTTGGGTATTTTTCCTCTGTACTAATTTGAGATCTCTTAAAATCCTACAACAAACAATGTTAGAGGGTCTGATTTAATATTCAGTTTTCTAGTATCACTTCCATTGACTGAATTTGATTTTCATTGAATCTTAACTTCAGATAAAGAAGTTACTTGGTTTGTTTGGGTTTTTTTGAAAAGTAAATTGCTTAAATGCAGATATCTAGTGTCACTTTGATGCTCTAAGCCACTCCACCAAGGTTCCAGTTGCTCATCTAGATCAGTGCATGGGTTTCCATAAGTTGCATGACACCCCTATGAAGCCCATTCACATATCTTGAATATGCAAGGACAGCTAAAAATAACTGACAGTTATTTAGATAATTAAGTTAACGTAAAGTTTATGTAGCTGCATTTGCCCTTTTGTCTCACCCTTACCTGCAGAAATAGTATTTAGCATTCTGTTTACTTATCTGGAATAATGACAGCCATAAGACAAATACATTTTATTGTTGCTATACCAGTTACTCTTCCTAATCCTCCTAAATACAAAGGTTTTCTGAACTAAATTATTCACAGTCATAGGAAGCGGAAATAATACTTGTTCTCTAACTAAACTGAAATTTTGATTTTTTTTACTTCCATAGCAAATTTATAACACCTCAAAAATCTTAATGAGGAAGTTGATTCGCTAACAGAAACAACATGTGGTCAGATCCTCAAATTACACAAATTAGTCTAGCACCATCAAGGTCATTAACTCTATGCAGATTTGAAAGAAATGAGAATCTGAATTTTGTATGCAGCACAGGAAATTTTCTCTCAGAAAGGTATGTACAAACAATATGAAGAACTCATATTTGTATATACAAATAGGTAAGATGTCAACAGTAAGGTGAACTAAACAATAACTTTTATCAGGACTTCAATGAGAAGTTTAGCATACATAGGTGGATATGTACTAATGACACTGATCTTCAGCTCTACAAATACAAATTAGAAAAGAAAACCAGTTCATGCATAGTCAGTTTACAAAAAGATTTGCTTAGAGGAAGATAAATGCAGGTCAGAATTTGTGTTTTGGCACTATGTCATTCATGCACAAAAATTGAATGGAATTACTGCACTCTGGACAAGATGCTTCTGTCCATATGACAAGAGTGAGAATCGTTGTGTTTATTTCCCAAACAATTTTAAACTTGTGCATGCAGGAGTTGCTTCCTTCTTTACAAGAAGGAGTGTCTTTCTTTTAAGAAAAAGACATTAAAAAACCCTCTTTATTTCTTTCTCATTGATAGAGAGCAGTTCCTTGATTTGCTTGAAAGGCAGCCAGGAATAAGCTTTTTCTTTTCTTGTCAATTGAAAAAAAAATACAAAATTATACAGAATAAATAGCAAATATAAATCTAGCAAGAATTCATTGCAAAAATAAACCTGCAGTGTTCTACTTTTTTTTTTACCTATTTTTCCCACAACACATTAGGTTCTAATTTCAGAAAATATAACCTATTTTTGTACAAACAGCTAAATACTATCATTCTTCCACATGTCTGTACTGTTGCAGTTGTTCTGTCTGGGAGCTGCTTTAGGGTAGGATGGAAAAGGACCTGTATTTGCACTTTGAAGTTCCTAGCCACAGCAAACTAATTTTTTTTCCAAGAATATTTAAAGCCAGCACAGAAGTTACTTATATATAGATATAGATATATATTAAAAAAAAAAAACAACCCAGACTTATTAAACACAGTAACATATTTACAGTTGATTCTCAGTAGCTTTTCAAATTGTCCAGGATTATGAGTTGAAACACCAGTGATGCACAATATTTTATAGCAGCAGCTCAAGAAAAGATTGTCCAAACTTAGGTAAAGCTATCAGGTAGGGAAAGTAGGAAAAGGTTTGTTTTTAATTCAAAAGGCTTGCTTTTTTCTTCATTGAAGATGCTGGGTAAAAACGGTTACATATTTTTTGCTCCACATACTGATACAGAATGCACAGAATGAAGTTTCATGTAAAATACTTAAATATTTGCAGGTTCTGGGTGCACAGACAAAAATATTTTTTCTGTGTGGGTTGTTTTGTTTTTTTTTAACTGACATTTAGTATGCCATTTTAATTCTTTCATATTTATTATAATAGTATGTTAGGTGCAGCTGTAGACAGTGGTCATGAATGCAGTGCATGTACTAACCTAACCAATCCACTCTAACCTTGTAACTACAAACACAGGTGTGATTTTTTTTTTTTTTAAAGGAATCTAATTAAATTGAGTGGAAAAAGAAGTAAATAGAACATATTTTTCCATAGGTCAGGTACAGAATGGAGAGTGCCATACACACTTTTTAAAAATGTTGAGGAATATTTCAATAACCAACCTTCCTCCCACAGTTCAATCACACAAAGTTCATGTTTAACTTGGGGTAAGACATATTGCCTGCACATAACCCCATGGCTTCCCACAGTGATCCCTGAGTTTTTTTTTTGCTAGGATTACTGCTGTGCTTAAGGTCTGACTGTTGACATGTTATTATAAGGCACTTTTATTTACAATGGTTCCAACTAAAAACAGAATTACAGAAATTCGTCCGCAGCCCGAAGTAGTATCACTTCATGTTTGCTGCTCCAGGACTTCCAGGTAGTCAGGCTCAGCATGTAAATTAGCTTTGAGTTCAAAATACTCATTTTTAGTTTGTTCTAGAATAACCTTACTTGGCCTGGAGTACATGAGTGTCTCCATTAGCTTCAGCTCTTCATGTGTTCCAGGATAATGAACTTCCATGTCAGGCTGGAACTGGACAATATTTTTTCTTAGATACTCTGTGATCCCTAGTTGCTGAAGTTCTCTCTCTTTTTCAAGAATGTTTCTATACAAGCAGCTGGCATCCTGAAAAGAAAGAAACTCTGCAGACTGATCTGTAGCCTTATATTTGATGTTTGAACCTGTAAGAGGTGAACTGTTCCCTCTTTCCAGGAGACTTCGGCAGAGATGTTTGGAATCATAAGCTTCCTTCTCACTTCCCTCTTCCTGTTGCTCAGTATGTTTGGGACTGAAGGATGGGCTGCGGTAGACGTGAACCGTGGGAGTAACCATACGTTGCTCATAAAGAGTTGCAGATGGGTGCTCCGTTGTGTGGTGTGTTGTCTTATGCCCACACATGCTATACTGAAGGTGAACGGGGCTACTATCCCTCATTTGATCATCCGCTTGTTTCTTTTTGCATCTTCGTCGCCGATGAAGAACAAGAACAACTATTCCTGCTGCACAAAATACAACAGTTATAAACACAATTAGAAGTCCTAGTATTAGAACAGAAAGTGGGACAGCATCTGTAAGGGACCTCAAGATGGTGTCTGCGGTGTTGGTAGTAGTAGTAGAAGTTGTCACAACTACAAAACTGGCATGAGTTGGTAAAGCCGGGCTGTTTATTAAACCTGGACACAAGACTTCACTGTTCAGGGATTTCAGCTCTTTTTTTGCCAGGTGTCCTGGAGATTTACAAAAAATATCACCCATCATTGTATTCTTACTCAGTTTTTGTATCCATTTCTGCAACGCAACAGAATCACAGGTACAGTCCCAAGGGTTGTCTTCAAGTTCAATTTGTACCAGCATATCCAGTTCATCCAAGACACTGCTCACAGGCAAATGAGAAAATTGGTTTGTTTTCAGATTTAATCTGGTAAGTGGAACACCTGAAAAGATATGGGGTGGCAAAGCCTGCAGAAGGTTGTTATTCAAATAAAGGACCTTAAGTTTTGGCATTACATTAAATGCCCCTGGCAAAACTTCGTTGATGGCATTATATTCAAGGTACAAGTATTCAAGGTGCTGAAGGCCAAGGAAGAGATTCTGACTCAGCTTTGTAAGATGATTGCCATTGAGATATAATTTCTGCAGTCTAGTCAGATTTGTGAAAGATCCTTCCTCTAGGATTTCAATGCGATTGTTCCCCAGGTGAAGCATTTCCAGGCCAGCATAGTCCACAAGATCTGATTTCAGTATTGCCTGAATAATGTTTCCAGCTAGAATTAGCTTTTTAGGATTTGGAGGAGGGGGTCCTAAATCAGACAAGCTTTCAATATTTCGCTCCTGGCAGTGCATGAGAACTCCTGAGAGCATATGGCTGGTGCAGTGACAGGGGACAGGACAGTAGATTCCTGGAAACTCAGTAGTAGGCTTTGAAGTATGAAGCACTAAACTTGGTTCTTTAGTAGGAGCTTTCAGGATAGGAATCACCTTAGTTGATAGGTGACTATCACTGATAGAGGTGGTTACAACCAAGGGCAGTGACCCTGAAGGATCTTCAAGTTCATTGGCAGGATGAGTAGGACAAAGTGATTCTTTTTTCAATCTACTTAAGATGCTACCTTTGATAACTGGAGGACTATCGCATACAATGTCACCTATAATTGACTGAGGAGGCATGTTTTCTAGCCATATTTTCAGCTGCAGCAAATCACAGTTACAGGCCCATTTATTGTCTTCCAACTGAAGGTCTAGTATTCTACCAATGTGTTCCAAAAAACCAACATAGGGCAGTGTCTGTAATTGGTTTCCACGAAGGTCTAAATGGGTCAACGGCACAAAACGAAATATATTCGGAGGAAGATACTCAATGGCATTATCATTCAAAATAAGCACTTTAAGCCTGTTGAGCTTGCTGAAGGCACTTGCTTCAATCACTGTGATGAAATTGTTGTCTGCTTGAAGAAACTCCAGATTTTCCAGTCCATTAAACATACCTTCTTTAAGTGTTTCTAAAGAATTGTGATTGATATGAAGTTGCTTAAGAAGGCTGAGACCATTGAAAGCCCCAGGCTCAATATCTGCAATATTATTAAAACCAAGATGTAGAGAGATAGCATTAACAAGGTCAGCAAAATCATTCACATGTAACATAGTCAGGCCATTGTTTAACAGATTAAGATGGAAAGGCCGTGATGGTGGGACATTTATTTCTGATACCATCTTGATGCCTCTTTCTTCACAATTTATAATCATGGTATCATCCTTTTCTTCACAGGAACACGAACTCTGACAAGATCCTCTGACTGAAGAAAAAGAAGACTGAGAGTGGAAAGGATCAGATGCAACGACAACTGAATATAGAATAAAAATCCAGAGCTTCATGTTGCCCAGCAGAGTCTATAAAAAATTAAAAAAAATATAAAAAAATAAAAAAAAAAGAAGAAAAAGGAAAAGTAGTCAGGTAATGGTTTCACAGGGTTGATTTTTATTTTTATTTCTGGGATGTAGAAGAGCAATAACAATTCCTAGTAATTCTCATTAAGCTACCTCACTTTGCAAACAATATTATATCATGCAAAACATTTGAATTATTTTCTAAAGAGAGAAAAATATAATTTAATGTACTGAATCAATAAGCAATAATAATGGGAGTGCTTCAGTACTTCCATGCTGATACCCAAAGCAGGAGATAATCAGGAGTGTGTTGACTTTATATTATATAGAATGTTTTGCCAGTGGACAAAAGTAATAAGTTACTGCCCTAAGCAATTTATATCAAGGCTAATATAATATTTTGGATAGTTGCTTTGTGTCACCATATAGCACTGCAGATTTTTAGAGTACATTACTAAGCTCAACTTAATGTTGTCTAGCTGCTGAAGAGAAGAAAGATTTGGTTTGGTTCAGCAGTATGAGGTGAGAACAAGCCCATTCAGTCAGGATACAAGGAATTTCTCCTTTGGTTCTGCATTGTGTGTATAAATCAAAGGTATTTCCTCTGTAACCCTTGTACCTCCAAGCCAAAAAAAAAGTACACAAAAATATTAATTTTTCTTTACTGAAATTTTAATGCATGTATTATAGTTTGTGGATATTAAGTGAAAGCGGAAACACAGCACATACTAGTGTAATATGTTTGTAGATAACATAAGCATTAAATAATTGTGTACACAAAATAAAAAAGAACAAACTGACAATGCAGTACAGTCAGAAGAAATACGTAGGCAAGGGTCAAGCATTATTTTTAGATTATTAGGCTCCTTTCAGTTATTATAATCATTAATTACTGCAAAAGATCTGAAACATACATGGTACTAACTATGCTTTACAAGTTAAAAATGACCACCAGTTATGATCTCTATGTTATGTAACTTAAATTATCATCTGTCAAGCTGATCTTGAACTTTGAAATACCTGACAAATGCATCATTACAGTACAACTGTGGAGTCACAGGCAAATTTACACATTGCACATTGTTATAACTGGTGTTAATTATTTTTTGCCACACTTTATTTGAAGATTCTTTTTTTTTTTTCTGTCAAGGTTGTCTAACAAGAACACGGGTAATAAGAGATGGAGTGAAATCACTGTTTATAATCTTTAATTAAATATTTCCACATTTGCTAAAAATAAATAAATACTTTTTCAATTTCATGGAAGATTTAAAACACAGAACTTTTTGGAGGGTGGGCTATTTATTCTAGGACTGAACTAATCAGCTTCTTAAGTAACCTATCTAATAAGGGTCACTTAATCTTTCAAAGAAAGCTACTGAAACATGAAATATACAGTGTCACTGCATAACCATCTGAAGGGTTAATTTCAGAAAGAGTAGAAACCTTTTACAAGAATCTACTCAATTACATATAGGAACACTCTTACAGTGTGGCCATATAATCTGGCATCTCATCTATATATTTTAATTATCATGTACCTTTATTATTAGCAACACCATTTCTCAAGGCTTCTCTTAAAACAGATTGCAAAGATTTATACATGTAAACACTTAAGTACTGTGGTATGAGTATCACGCACACACAAAAAGGAACAACAGCACAGTGAATTATGATTTTATCCATTAGCAGTTCCTAATAAGTGGGAGTAGATGTATGATTTTAGAATAGTGACATTCATAGTGTAAGAAAAAATGTCCTTAAACATATGACCTTTCATCTTTGTTTCTGTACTACAAATAATTTTATTGTCTCCTGTAAAACTCCTTGAACTCTAGCTGCCTATGCTTAACATACATGTCTTTAAGTTTGTTTTCCCCAGAAGTACTGGATGAGAAACAACATGTCAAGATGTTATTTTGAAGTATGCAGAATAATTCTAGAATCATATTAAGCTAGACAGTAATCCTTGCTTTACATGCATCCATATCCCTTCCAGTGACCCAAGGTAAAAAAAAATGCAGGCTTTTGACACAGATGCCAGTTTTAAACCTACTGTATGACTTATTAGACTTCATTTCTGTACACTTTTTCTCTGTAGGAATTCCAGCTTCAATCTGCATCAAATTTAAACTGCAGTTAAAAAGTCCCTGAGCAAAAATAAAGGGGGGGGGGGGGGAACCATCTGAAAAACATGTTGCATTCTAGTGCTTATTGAGAAATTAGCTTGTAAAAATGAGAGCCCTCCTCTCAGAGATGAAAGTAACAACATTTGTCACCAAGTGGAAAACATTCTCATTTTAATCATCATCGTACTTTTGTGAGTACCACTGCCAGAACTCTCACACACACATATCTTCAGAGCAAAAATTAATAGGGCCGTTGTATTCTTGTTTTTTTTTGTCTCAACACTTGGGGATATGTAATGAACCTCTCAGTGGGCTACTAGTGGAAAATAAAAGCTGCTTTTATCAACATTTAACTAAATTCATAATAAAGTAAAATTTAATTTTAAAGTCTTGACAAAGCTGACCTTTTTCACATGGTGAGGTTTTTCAGCAAATTCTGCATGGTAACTTTTACCTGCTTTCATGAAAAGTCACTGCTAACTGCACATGGTAACAGCTTTTTGCAGTAGGCACTCTAAAGGACTGAAAAAGTCACAGTTCTATGAGGCAATGCTGAATACTTTCAGAAGTAGACCCTTTATAGCAAAGGCATTACATGCTTGGCAAATAATAATCAACGTGGTTTTAAAACACTGAAATAGTTTGCTATTTTACTTGGGGGGGGGGGGGTGTGTGTTCATTTGGATGTTTTAATTCAGCTATTTTAAAACTGCATGTTGAAGAATTTCAAAATCTCAAATTAAGAACCGGTAATTTCTAAAAGCCGTCAGGACTGTTTATCGAATTCTGAAGGAAATCACAGACATGCATCTAAGACCACTCTTTCACTTCAGGAAATAAAAACAAACACCCATTCGTCCCCCCTCAAGGGATCTGAAATCAGCGTTCCCTTAACACACACATTCTACACAGCCGGCAGTTTGAATAAATGCAACTGGCAGACTGTTTGAAAAAACAGTATAAACAGCCATCATTTAACATAAAAGTTACACAAAGTCGTGCATAAAAATAAATTTCACTGTTACTGAGAAATAAATTCCACTGTTAAATTGATTAGGTAACTGGAATCTTTCTTACCTGTACAGCAGTAACGCTCCCTGAAACGCTCACTAATGCACAGTTGAAGCAGCTGCTTCAATGCGATGTGATTTTTTCCCTGTGAAAAATGCACACTTTCTTTTTGCTGCAAGCTCTGGCAATACTACAGCTCCATAAAGTTAAAATCCTTGTTCAGAAGACAAAGTACAAAGCATTCAATCGAAAAAAAAATCTTCCAGGCAGCGTGCTCATTAGTCTATCCTGTAAGTAGTTGTCCTTCTTCCTCAATTAAAATTCACAGCGTACTTCACAGCTATGCTGACTTATCTGCATATAGTTAACTGTTTACAAGCATTTGGATGCAGTAAACAAACAAAACGCTCAGCAGAGCTTAACTGGATCACTTGGTTTGTCAGATTTTTAGATGCAAGCTGCTTCTGTGTGCTCTCTGCTCTTTCTAGTCTTTCTTGTTAGAGCAGTTTGTTATTAGTCAGATTGCCACGGGCACGGAGGTAGGCGTAAATAAAGAGACTTCTTGGCTTTTGACTCAGCCTTTAAGCCCTTCCCCACCAGAGAGCTTTAATCTGCGAGTGTCATTTAATACAAGATACAGCTCCACCTTGAGACGGATCAGCTCCTCCTCCTGCAATTTCTCTCACCTCCTTTTTTCCTTATCGAAGTGAACCTCGGAAAACAAAATTCAGCTAAACATCTCCTAGATTGCTTAAGGTCTGTAATGGCTGATTTTTAAGAACAATAAACACCCACTGCAGCTCTTGCAGTTTGTTCTCTTGGCCAGATCTTGCATCTAGTTTATAGCTGCAAATGCTTGCTTTAGAAACTGAAAGCATTCCAGCCCAAATACACTCCACAAAGCACACCACAAGGGAAACCTTGTCGTCTAGAAAATATGTCAATCACAACGAAGTGTAGGATTATTCAAATATATAAATGAAACAATACGGGTCTCGATCCAGTCTGCTCAATGTGACAGGGGTAGGGATCAGTATGTACAGTTACACATACTTTTTTTCTGAGAAAAAATAAGTTGTGGAATATTAGTACTTATTCTTGCACAACGATTTCCAGCAGTACTTTTAAAACTGCCCATCTTGTTCTGTGGGAAGAAAGATGGGTTGATTGTAATTGTCTGTTTTACAGATGCGAGATTGCATTGTATTTGCACGAAATATTGCTTTGATAAAAAAATATTCTAGGTATTCTTAAAGGCATGTTTTGTGTTTAAGGGATTATTTTCTTTGTGCTCATAAACAAGTAATTAGCAGGTACAGTAGGGCTACAGGAAAATGTTTTTTCCATGCAAGGAAGATTTTCCTCATTCCTCCAGCACTGAATGGGATAGTTTTCTATGCTGCAATGATGCAGAGAGTTGACCAATGTACAGGGGGGTTGTACAAGGGGGTTGTACAAGGGGGTTAGAGGAATTTGCTTGCTTAAACAAAAGTATTGTCTGTTGTAAGTGCCTGCTAAGCAGAACAAAGACACCTGGTCCTATTGATAAGCAGCTATTGGTAAGGAAAAGCAGACGCCTGAATCTACTGATAAGGGGGAGAAGCAGATGGTTTATGGCTGGGATACCGACCAAACCCTAAGGCCATATGTGAAGACTGAAAGGTGAAAAGTGCAAGAAGAGGAAGACTCATTTACTTCATCTTGAAGGCCCCTACCCACAGGAGGAAGGCTCAGTTACTCCATCTTGAGACCCCTGCCCACCACCAGAGGGGGCACTGCGCAGCCCCTTCTAGCTCATTATAATACGAAGCGGGGACAGGACATGAATACGTAATATGTTGTGCAACCTTATGAATATATATAACTTTAGAGAATAAATGTAGAGGGAAACAACACTGAGGTACGCATGACTTTGAGGAATTATCCTCGTGCGTCTCAGTGCTGAATAAAAAGCATACCTACTTTACAACTTTAACGAGTTGTGGAGTCAATCCGCGCCTCAGCAAATATTACTTCCTTGTCCATCCCATTGCCACAGAGACACAAAACCTTTTGGTGAGCAACAGTAGCTCTGGTGCTTCAGTGTATTTACCCTGTAGAGCATAACATTTCTGGTTGGATCTTATTGTGTCCTGGATTACTTTACAGATTGTTTGCTACAGCCTCAATACCACTCAAATTCCTGTAACTTCCTTTGAGCTGTTAGTTCTCCAGATGGCCTCATTTGCCTTTGAAGGGGTATTGTGAAGTACTGTTCCATGTGGTGAAGGCTACTGAGATCTTGTCCTATACATACATACATACGTACATACGTATATACACACGCATGCATATACGTAAATACACATAGACAAACGCATATGCATAGATGCATATAGACATATATACATACAGATACATGTATATATGCCTTTGCATATTAGGATGAGTTCTTTTAGTATTTTTCCACAGGAAAGATATGTAATTTAGCAAAATAATCATTTACATTCATTTCAACACATCACTTATTTGACTGCATTTTCCTAGTTTTAGTGAGCCTTGCCACTCTATCTTGAATGCAGACATTTGACTTTTAAAGCTCAAAGATTCTCAGCTACCTGTGTCCAGGCAAATAAATCATCATATTCTTTACTCATTTTGAATTTATGAATTGCAAGTCAGATTCTTTCTAATTTTTTACCGAACATATTACAGGTGCTCACACTTAGACTCATAGAATGGTTTGGGCAGGAAGGGACCATAAAGATCTAGTTCCAACCCCCCTGTCACACAAAGGCACACATCATACTAGGCTAGGTCGCTCAACACTTCCAGGGATGGAGCATCCACACCTTCTCTGGGCAACCTCTTCCCAACACCACTGTAAAGAACTTCCTAACATCTAATCTAAATCTACCATCTTATAGTTTAAAGCCATTCCCCCTTGTTCTGTCCCTACATCCCTTTGTCAAAAGTCCTCTCTAGATTTCTTGCATGCCCCCTTTAGGAACTCGAAGCTGCTGTAAGATCTCCCTGGAGCCTTCTCTTCTCCATCTGAACAAGACCAGCTGTCTCAGCCTGTCTTCACAGGAGAGGAGCTCCAGCAATTTGATTATCTTTGTGGCCCTCCTCTGGACTCACTTTAACAGGTCCACACACTTGTTACATTTTAGGCCACAGACCACATTATTCCTGTGAGGTCTCATGAGAGCAGAGTAGATGGGAAGGATCACCTCCTTCGACCTGCTGGTCACGCTCCTTTTGATGCAGCCCAGGATACAGTTGGCTTTCTGGTCTGTGAGTGCACACTGCCAGCTCATGTTGAGCTTCTCGTCAATCAACATCCCAAGGCCCTTATCCTCAGGGCTGCTCTCTATCTGTTCTCCGCCCAGCCTGTGTTTGTGCTTGGGATTGCCCTGACCAGCATAAGGACCTTGTATTTGGCACCTTGCACAGTTCATGTGTGGTTAATTTGTTTGAGATGGAGAATATCTTCAGAGATAGATACTCATATGTTAAAACATCATTCTTTGCTTTTCAGGTAATAGCCAGGAGAGTAAAACCTGACCAAAAAAAAAAAAAAAAAATCCAGAAACCAACTACTAAAAATAGGAAAGCATTTCCTAATCATACACAACTAAAAATCATCAGGGATAGTTACCAATAATGTTTATATCATTACACACACTGCATATTTAAAAGGTTTATAAAAATACTGCTACTGGTTGTTTTTCTACCATAGTTTTATGAATCATTAAGCAGGTTATTATAAAGAATGTGTTTCGGCAAGTACATCTGCATGGACAGTGTGGAACTGATGTGGAGTTTATATCCTGTACTTTAAACATTCACCTTTATTAATTGCCCTGACAATTCTAAAATTTGTGAAGCTGTATAAATAACATCTAAAACTGTCAGGCTTACTTAATTCCTAAACGGCCTAAAGCTCTTATGTCATTTCTCTTTACCTCTTCACAAAGTACAGCATTTCCATAGGTCAGAAATGAGACCATACCCCTCTAACTATACATATCCTGTGCATAATTCTCCCCAAGCTAGTGAGTCTTCTTCTTAGTATATACATGTAGAGATAGAAGTTTTAATCCTATTGCGCGTGTAGGCCTCATATAAAACCATTAAAAGAGAATGTTCTAATGCTGTGTACAATGTTTTGCTAAATTCTGTTTTATATGGCAAGCTGTGCATGTTTTTATTTTTAAATGGTAAACATTACAAAAGAAAGATCTGAGCCTTAATTACATAATTTGCAAATTTTTGTACTACAACAAAATACCCAGGAAGACTTTTCCAGAATCCATTGTTTTCTTCCTATCAATACATTCCCTTCATTCAGGAAAATTCTGAAAGTGGAAAGCTTTCTCACACCCTTTCAGTCAGAACTTACTAGTACCATCTCAAGATTACTTTGAAGAATGTTTTCCATATAAAGGATATTAATTTTAGATTCAGTTTATGATTTACAGCTTACTCTTCAAAATATGAACTTTCATAGGACACTAATTTTTTAGTAAATCTAGTATTTAAAAATAACAGAAGGAATAAGGATATGCATGTGCTTTTTCAGTGGAAGGTAAAGCTCCCCTCGCTCGTCGTACACAACTCATCATCACTTCTCAGTACATACATAAGGAGCCACTGATTCCACACAAAATGTATAAGCCAAATAATCTACCCTGCCACATGTGCAAGAGTCTGCTTGTCCATATCCACAACTCTTCACCCATATTTCTTCCAACACCAACTCTTTCAACTCTGTGTAAGTATTGGTCTTAGAGCTTAAGATACTATATTGAAAAGAAATATTCTTCTGGAACAACTAAGTAGCATCTGAATATTCATACCTGAGAGAACAGGCTGAGGGACTCTGTTGAAACTCATATACATAGTATATCTGAAAACTGCATATGTGTAAGCGGCGAGGAGAAGCAGACAGGCCAACCCAATATGGGTGATAAGCAACTTCTACTTTATTTGTGACGCAGTTCACACATATATAGGAGTGGTATTCAGCCACTCCTTCTTGGCACAACAGTATTGGTTAGCCCCCCACAGCTTCCTCCACATTCTCCTCCCAGGTCCGGTCTCCGGCCACCTGTGGGGGCCACCCCCTGCCTTGCTTGCACAGTCCTCCAGAACTCTATGGTTCTGCTCTTAGAGTCATTCTGCAACACATATGCAGACAAAGTTATCAAGGATAAGTCTTAACTCAGTAAGCTCATAGAAGATAGCACATAGGTACACACAAAACAAGCAAACAAAAAAAACCCACTACAATATAATGTAGCCACCATTATGGAAGCTACCAGTGCCTACCATAAATCCAATGCAGAGCCTTTCTCTCCCATGACAAAGGAAATTAGGAAAGGTTTTCTTCAACTGTAAGTTTCATTACAGTCAAGTGAACAGGAAAGAAACAATTCAGATTGGCATTAGGAAAAGAGAGGGTTACTTTTTAGGTATCCATTTATTTAATTCAGCTACAGAACAAATATTTCTCTGAACTATTGCACCTTTTTTATGCATTGGGATAGGTCTTACTCAAAACCTTTTCTGCTTTGAACACACTGTGTGGCTTTCTGCAGTCA